TGGGGAATTCTGGGCGTTGAAGTCCACACATCTTCAAGCTGCCAAGGTTGAGAAACACTGCTCTAAGAAGAACCCCTTCCGTTGAAGTAAATCTCTAGACTTTGTCGTGTGAAAGAAAACTCTCTAAACAATAACATTTTTTTAAATGATATTTCATTGTAGGATACAGAAAGCAGGAATGGGTTGAGACAGGTGTTTCCTTCCGCCTGCTCTATTCCCCTGGCCAAAATTTCCCCCTCCCATGCCTCAAACAATTGCATAAAGAGAGGCCTCCTGCAGGGGCCATGGGTGAAAAAGCTGGGGAGGAGGGGGGCTCGCTGGGGCACACACCTTTGGGACTCTGCATGCCGTTCGGACCTTGTAAAAGAGACTTTCAGTGGCTCATCCCCCCCATCTTCTTCTTCTTCAGCAACTACACACTCAAGTTTATGTCTCTGCCCATGAGTGACATCACCACAGCCTACCGCAATGCCCCCGACAGGACAGATGAGGTGTGGCAGAAGGTGAGCCCACTCCCACCCGTCGGATGCCTTCCCTTGCCGGGACAGAGATGAACTTGCCCATGTTGTCCCCACCACCAGCACCACCACCACCTCCACCTCCATCTTCTCCTCCCTTCCCAGATCCAGTGGTGTCTCCTGAGGAACAACCACTCTCCGAAGGTCTCCCAGGACCAAGCGTTCCGCCTCCACCAAGGAATTGTCACCAATAGCGCCGAGCAAGTAAACGTTCCCATCTCCCTGGACCACCTTCTCCTATCCATCCTTAATGTCGTGGGGCATGGGGAACGCTTGCGTCCCTTCCAAACGTGACCAAGGGGATGCAGGACATGGTGGGACTCGGGCGGTCTGAGCGTCACCAGGCTCTCTGGCTTGCTGGGACAGGCGCATCGGGGAGTGGGAGTTAACACGGCCGTGCCCTTTCCTAGATGATGAACCGCCTCTGCGTGCGAGTCCAAGAAGAAGTACGGGTCCTGCGAACGTGCTCTGCTGACTCTGTTCAGGAGGAGGTCCTGTATGCCCGGAAGCTGATGAAAGAAGCCAAAAATTCAAGAGCGGTAAGATAAAACATTTTCCTTACACAGGGAGCTGGAAATGCTTCTTCCTGAATACGATACGGATCGCCATGTCTTAGAAGTTGCTAGCTGGGTTACAGTTCAAGACAGAAGCTCCGTGTTGCCCCAGGAATTAAAAAGGACCCCTCTGAAGCATGTACAGAATTCACTTCCCTTTCTACCAAGTAACTCTCTCCTTTCCGCGGCCCCGTCTTTTGGAGGCAGGATGCCAGGAACATCACCTGCCTTTTCATAAAAGAAAGCTACATGAACAACAAGACTGAAGGTAGAAGTGCTTTCTAAAAATTGCTAGTTCGTATTCACATCTGGTTTAACTCATAGAGCTATCACAGATCTCTAAGAAGCCCCTTTATATTTCCTTCCAAAATCTATAGGGGTCTTAGTCAGTGGTAGCCCTTGGATAAATGTTGTCGGCTCTCGGAAGCTAAGCAGGGTTGGATTACTACTTGGATGGGAGACCACAAGGAAATGCCAGGGCAGTAGACCAGACTGGGAAGTCAGAATCCCAGAAGAAGGGAAGGCAAGCCACTTTGAGACTGTTGCTAAACATTGACATTATTGTGTCCCTGAAGTCCCCAGAAGACAAATTTGGGTTGTAGGATCCTTATTTTTTATGGGTATTAGGATTCAGGGTTAGGTTGAAAGTTTTTACAGACCAGGGTTGTCAGCTGGTGTCCCTCAAATGTGTTGGACTTCAACCCCTACAATTCAGTGTCATCCATTCTAGGATCCCGTGAATCCAGAGGGGAAAATTGTTGATTGGTTGGTTGGTTGATTGATTGATCATGTACCATCAAGTTGGTATTAACTCTTATCAGCCACATAGATAGACCTTGTCCAGGATGATCTGTCCCCAATGTACCCGGCCTTTCAGACCATCCAGCAGGGCATCCATCACTGCTGTAATCAAGGAAAATGGTTGAATCATCTCTAAAAACTTGCAGATAATCCTCACTTAACAACCATTCGTTTAATGGTTTGAAGTTACGATGACTTTGGAAAAGTGCTTTACAACCTGTACTGGCATTTACGACTGTTGCACCATCCCCCGTGGTCATGTGATCGCGGTTTGTGACATATTTTTACGATGGTCATTAAACGAATCACATGATTGTTAAGCAAATTCCGGCAAAAAAATCCATTGGGGAAGCTGGATTCGCTTAACAACCACGTGATTCACTGAATGACCACATGATTCAGTCAATAACTGCGGTGTTTCGCTTAATGGCCGTTGTAAAAATGGTCATAAAATCGGGTCCAGTCACATGATGCCTCGCTTTACGACCACCCTGTTTAACAATCAATTTTCCAGTTCCTCTTGTGATCATTAAACGAGGACTACCTGTATTCTGCTTAAGCGTTGTTTTCATCTCTTCCCCACAGCTTTTTCCCAGCCTCTATGAACTTGGGCACCTGTTGGCCAGTGATGGGCCAGTGCGGCACCGGCTGGAGTCCGTGGCCAACGAAGTGGCAAAAGCAGTTGACAAGGAGCTGCAGGTATTGTGAAGAAGGCATCACAATCTCCCTTTCACACAGACTTGCTGCTTATCGTGACGGGCCCTGATGATGGGAAGTCCCAGGCTGTAGGTCTTGGGAATTTGAGTGTCCAAGACAGGGGTGTCTTTGGTGGGTGTTAAGAAATCAAGATGGCGGTCTTGATTTCCCTGCCCGGCCCCATGGACATCCCTGACTCGTGGCTCCCCTTTCTGCCAGATGATCTTAGAGTCGATGGTTGCCCTAACAGAGGAGCTGTGTCCACATGCCGTCCAGGCAGCCGAAGAGCATCACAAGATGTTGGCAGCTGTTTCTGAACACATCACTGTGCCCCGAAACTTCATCCGGGGAGCTTTGCTGGAACAGGCTGGCCAGGATATTCAAAACAAGCTCAAGTAAGAAGAGGGGTGTAAATAAAGCAGGGGGATAGGGAGGGCCAGTCTCTGCAGGAGAGCAGCTGTGAAGGCGAAGGTTAGCAGATGAGAATGCCAACTTGAGCAGGAAAAAACAAGCAGGTGTTTATGTCTGCTCATCCTCTGATCTTCTTCAACCTGGGTCCCTCTCCAGTGAGGTGAAGCTGTCCGTCGTGACGTATCTCACCAACACAATTGTGGAAGAACTTCTGGAGGAGCTGTATCACGCTCACAAGAATCTGGTGAGAACGACATCTCCTTCTCCCACCACTACCAGTGACCCATATCCCACATTCCCGTGCCATGATTTCATCCTGATTTTTGGCTTGGAGTCTCAGCAGACCAGAGTACCTGGTCGACCTTGTTTGGGCTTGGAAGCTAAGCAGGGTAGGACCTGGTTGGTATTTGGGTGGGAGGCCCCAGGAAATCCAAGCTGTACTGGGAAATCCAAACAACGTCGTGGAAGAAGTAAGTACCCCACCCCTTGCATTGTGCTACCGAGAAAGCTACATTAGAGTGTCCATGAAGTCATCAGGAGCCAAGGTCAACTCCCAGGAGACTTCACTTAATTCAGGCCTGGAACATGCATGTCTCTTGTGTTGTTTCTCTGAACTATGTTTCAGCCTGGCAGATGCAAAATTAAACTGAAGAAGAAAACCCCCAGGATGCATATTCTCTATGAAGCTCTAGAAAATTTGACTATACCCCACAGATGTTCTCCTGCTGTATTCTGTCCTGGAGGTGAACACTGGATGTTGACAGGGACTCTGTTTGACATTACTTTTCCGTAATACCCCTGCCAATCAAGGGAGTGACAGCCTCACTACAGCTTAAACCCTGGTAGAAACGTAAAGCTACAACGGCTACTGCAAAACTAAACTTGGCTATTATGAATGTTGTGGCTTTTATTGTAGTATTTTAGAATATTTAAGCCCATTCCTACAGGGCTTGGAAATGCGTTGCGTGACAGGCAATATGGGAATATCTTAAATATTTTAAAAAGCTGGTCAGTTTTCCCATCGCCGCTGAGTAAAAGACAAGAGAGGCCTTGTGCCCACAGGATTACCAATGGTATTCCTGGCTTTGGAACTGAATTCAGACTGGAGTGCTGCAAAGGACTATTTGCAGGACAGTCAAAAAAATTAGATGACAGTTGCATTTTGCTACAGGTTTTGCGCACGTGACGGATGTTTAAAAAAGGGACGGGGCAGGTTGTGACCACCATCTTGACTTTTTTGACACCCCCCCCATGTCCAGCCTTGGCATGACAGAAGCATTGTCAGAATTATCAGAAGCTCACAGCCTCCGTCTTCACTCTCTCCTCCCCAACCACAGGCCCAGCACATCGCCCATCTCCACCGACTTTCTGAGAGTCAAGACAGTGTTATTCTCCCTGAGCAGCTGGGAAAACCTCAGCTCCAGGACCAGAAGGAGTTCGCTGATCACGAGCTCGACTCCAGCATCGTAAGTGCTTATGGGCTGGCTCGGGCGAGGTCCCCAGTTTTGCAAGTCCTGACTTGTGTAGATTTTGAGTTACAGCATGACTGACGTGACTCTCTCCCACAGGACACCATGGCTATCAAAAGACAGAAGAACTGCCGTAGGATCCGACCTGCTTCTGCCTTTATTAGTGAGTGTAAGAATGACTTCCCCAGCTACTGTTCTTAAATCCATACTACAGGTAGTCCTCAACTTATGACCACAATTGGGACCAGAACTTCCGTCGCTTAGTGATGTGGTTGTTAAGTGAATCGTGCCCAATTTTACAACCTTTTTTGCTGCAGTCATTAAGTGAACCATATGGTCTTAAGCACATCCAGCTTCCCCCATTGACTTTGCTTGTCGGAAGCCCACTAGGAAGGTTGCAAATGGCAATCACATGACCCTAGGATGCTGCAACTGTCGTAAATACATGCCGGTTGCCAAGCGCCCAAATTTTGATCACATGACCATGGGGACACTGCAACAGTAGTAAGCGCGAGGACTGGTCATAAACCACTTTTTTCAGCACCATTGTAACTTTGAATGGTCGTTAAATGAATGGTCGTAAGTTGAGGACTACCTGTATGTGCCATGATTTCAGCTTTAGAGATGGCTGGACTTTCAGGCATCCTATTACTTAGGGCCCAAGGGGATTGTAGAAGCATCTCAGATGGTTTTCCCCAATGCATCCATTTTTAGAGGCTGATAATGAAGCAGTTTGTGGAATCTCTTCTTCTAAGCTCTAAATTATGGCAGTACAGCTTGTTCGGCCTTATCCTAATTTATTTCCAGATATGACTCATTTGTCTGCTTGCGTGATGATGCATTAGTGTTCTTTATAAATTCTAATTAAGCTTTCCCATGGGAGTATGATGGGCTTCCACATCCAGAATCCAGGCAACGAAAAAGGATTTCAGGCTTAGAGCAGCCCCCGTTTTGAGCCCAAAGCAGGTGCTTTGGGCTTGAAACGGAGCTGCTTCCAGCTTGAAACCTCTTTTGGAATAGTTGGAACAGCGCTGATGCACTTCTGGGGTGTTTGGGGCTGCCCTGGGACACTCCCAAACAGTTTGCACCACCCATTTTGAGTGCAACCTGTCTCTTTTCACACACCCCTTCTCTGTTCCGTGTTGGGCAGTATTGATCTCCTTCCGGGCGTGTCTTCCCCTCCTCTTGCAGGTGGATCCGAACAGGACGGGGACCTGACAGCGTCCAACATGAGCTCACCCCTGGGGTGGATCTCTCTGGTCGGCAGCAATCAGTGCTCCTATTCCCACAGCGCCTCCTTCGAGGGGCTTTGCGAGCTGCCCACAGAAGGGGCTCGGCTTGAGCACCGGACGTGCGGCAGACCCCGGCCACCTCGCTCAGCTCGGTTCCGCTCCAACGTGAGTATCTGACACACGCGTTCCCACAAAGTTTCGCTCTCCTCCTCCTCCTGCTGCAGCCTTTTTTGCTCAGCTTGTCGTTCTTCATGAGCCTTTTCATCCCTCGCTTCGGCCTTTTGGGTGGGCTTGGCCAAACCTAGGAAGAGGCATACGAGCAACCTGGCCGCCCGTATTTTCCATTTCATCACTTCTGGACCTCGTTCATCTGCGTTCCTTTTCTTTCCCAGACACCTTTAACATCCATTTCCATGCAGGGCCATCCGCGGAGTGTTTCTCAATCCAACTGTTTCCCAGCCCTCTTTAATTTTTTTACTCGTGGGTTCTGTTTTATTTCCATCTCTCTCTTTTTTTTTTTTGCACTCAGTACGTGGGAAGAATTAACAGGGCAACGGGCTTTTCTCCCCTTTTCAGAACCGAATCCTGGGTTCCCTGGAATCCAGAGAGCAGGAGAATGGGTTGGCAACCCGGCTGGATGAGGGCCTAGATGAGTTTTTTAACCGGAGGGTTCTGAGCGACACCATCAGGTGAGCCGAGTGGGGATCTCCATAGGGCACAATTAATGCCACTCGATTCTTTCCTTTCTGCCTTCATCCTGAAAGAAAAGCCCTATCCGCTATCTTAGTTCCACCGTCTTTCTCTCGCAGTTATCTCAGCTCTCCCTAATCCAGAGTTAACGTCTTGCGTTTTTCTGCCTTCGAAAAACTTTCTGCTATCTTGGTTCCACCATCTTTCTCTCGCGCAGCTATCCTCGGATATCTGAGAGCTGTGGGGTCAGGCCAGGCCCCTGCGATTCTCTCCCCCCTCTGCAAAAGAAGCGGAGAAAGGGCCTCTTCCATTTTCGCCGATACCGCAGCATCAAAGGAGAGCAGGACCCCGAGGATCTGCCCCCAAATCCCCCCCCACCTCCCCTGCTGTACTCGGTCATCAGCCACGAGAAAGAGTGGAAGCTGGGACAGGACGTTGCGGGAACGACAATGCCTCTTCCGGGAATGGGGGCCGTGGCGCCTGGAAGCGGGGTGAAAGGCCTCCCCAGCCGTTCCAAGCAGGTAAGGAAAGCTTTCTTCCGGGGTGGGGGCTCGGACGTGGAGGCTCCCCTTTTTAATTTCCTTTCCTTCCAAAACAAGATTTCCACTCCCGATTCAGAGAGGGCGGAGGCAGACTCCCGAAGGACGGAACTGCTGCAGCCCTCGCGAGTCCAAGGCGTGGCGTTGCCGGGGATGGGACGTGCTAAAGGCTGGAGTCTGGATGCGAAGCTGGAGGTAGTGGGCAGTCCGCTGGGAAGAAAGCCAGATTTTGGGAAAGCGAGAAAAGGGGCTGTCTTGGCTGCTTGGCGCGCCATTCATCAGCTTTCTTCCCTGGTTAGAGCGTTGAAATGGAGCAGAGAAGAGGGAGTTTACGGGAGCAGCAGAGAAGACGTTCTTCGGATGACACAGGTACGTCTCAGCTCACCTCTCCTCTGTGGGAACGTGAGTCTGGGGGCTTCATCTGGCCCACGGAAGCTCTTTCGAAGCCCGGTTGAGTTCATGGGGGCTGAGATTTAAAACCGTGGATGTAAAAAAAGGAAGTCCTCTGCAAAGGGGGTTCCTTCCTAAAATTAACGTTTTGTAGGTCGTCTTCATCTCAAAAGCCAACATCGTAGATCAGGGGTACCCGTGGCAGGGTCGAAAAAAAGAGTTTGTTGTTGCT